AAGAAAATGTACAAGTAGAAAGAAAATCTTTTTGGTATATATAATTTAAAGATGCAAACTAAATACACAAATAAAAGGTAAAAAATATTTTTAGTACTTTTTAATTAAGGAATTCACATAAAAATGCGCAAATAAATTCAAAGAAAAACAAAAAAATAGCTAAAATCATCCAAAAGTTATTATTATTATTATTATTACTATTTTTTTTTTTGGAAGAGCGTGCAAAAATCAAGTATTCATAACCACATTTTTCTGTATATTGCTCTGCACGCGCTGTGGCTGTTAAACTGACCATAGAAGTTATAGTGTTTGCAGGCACTTCTACAAATAAATAACAGCAGGGGAATTGAATTAAAAAGAAAGGAAATCTTCCTAGTATACGTTCATTATCATACATATGTACATATTTTAATTTCCTCTGAGCAATCATTTACGGAGTCATCTAAGATGGAAAATAACACTATTGACAAACAACACTTCTCTATAGTCTATAGTTACAAGCAGAAGCCAAAGCTAATGATATTGAGATTGACAACACATTTGCTACATGTAGAATTTCAGGCTGCCTCTAGTATGCCATAATACACTGTCGATGAAGTTGAATAGATTGAACTATAAAGAAATGGCCTTACGGTTTAGAGCCATTACACTCCAATTGCAAGACTACGGTTCTGCTGAATCTGAATTGCTTAGACTGCAATTGGTTATCGGATGAGGTGATCTTATCATGAAGCTCTCAACGAAAGCTAGCAACTGCATAAGCATCGATCATGTTATATTTGAAATCCTTCAGGACCAACATTTCATGAGCTCCAATACACGAATGTTTATCCAGCATGCTCGAGATAGTATATACACACAAGAAATGAGAAATGGAGCTCAAAATGACACTAATTGAAATGAAAACTTTCACACTTTTAGGCCTCAGCAATGCATATTTACTAACAATAGACTGAGATCTTTAAATGGGAACAATCAAACTTTTCACCAAGGAGCCTTAGAATTTCATGTTGTTTAGCTTTAATCATTTTTATACATGCATTTCCTGTTCTCTACTGATAAGAGGAGGCAATAGGAAAGGAAATTGAAGATACCATTCAGAAACCAAAATACTTACTAAAGCAAAGGCAGCACAGGCTAGACCAAATCCTGGGAAATGAAAGGGTGCACGTTCTGATAGAAATAAAGCTGGAAACAATTGCCACCTTGATCAGATTAAATTGACTTATACCGATGACACGGGGGGTGAAAAAGATAATCCCATTTTAGCTACCTGTTAAAGGACTAAAAATAAATGGGGAAACTACGCTTGCAAAGGAACATATGCCTGTGATGCATCCTTGAACCTTTCCCTGAAAGCAGGAAATAAAGATCAACTTGGGGCTCAGAGCTACATAAGCAGAAGTGTTTACAGTACAAGAAACTCCAGGTGAGGAAAAGAAAAGAGAGTTTAACAAATGATCAATTATGTTAGTGACATGTAAAGGGAAAATATGAGAATAATTATTGATAACAATTAACAAACCTGCTCATTTGGCCCAACTTGCTTGGAGGCCATGCTCTTCAACTGCAACCAAGGTAACTTCTAGTGATTTTTAACTTTAAGCTAACGAAAAGCAGATGATTGTATAAATGAGACTTACACATGGCATTGCAAAAATAGACATAATAGAGATCAAAGCGCTAGCGTAAGGGACCTGCATGTTTTTGACTAATCAATAAACCTCATTCATTTGGTAAAGTACATACGTCATATCTTGAAGAAAATACAGCTAATAGATCAAGAAAAGGACTAAAAGATATGAACTGGACTAGTAAGGAGGCAGAAATTACCCATGAGGACCAAGCAATGCTATAAAGTAGCATCTGCAATTGAATTTGAGTCAATGTCTCAGTTCAATAAAATCTCTAAAATGCTTTGAATTGGAAATGTAGTCAAGGATAGAGTTAGTTATGTACATGAACACAACTGAAAAAGAGCCCAACAGAGAGCAGCTTCTCCTCACCAAGAGCAGGAACTAATGTGGGCATGAGCAGTAGCTGCAAAAGTTGAAAAAGATTGAAGAGGTAAGAAGCTGAAAAGTATGTTAACATTAATCAAAAAGGTAATCCAAAAACAACCACCTGTGATATGGATCCTGCAATCCCAGAAATTATCAGCAAATCAGCAAATTGGTCTTTGTTGAAGTGAAACTGAGCCTTCAAGAAATACTGCTTACAGTTTCAAGAAAACCAAATTGTCTTAAAAAATACACTTTGTATATTTGTAGGCATTACCAAACGATGGGGTTTTCCACACTTATGGAGTTAATTTTCATGTATAGTTACTGAATTTTATTCATTATAACAGTAAAGTCATAATAAAACTATCTTTGTCACATTAAAGTAGTTGAACTTTACACACTACAACGGTAAATTTACTAAACTAGGGTATAAAGTTATTATTTGAATGTGACGATCGAGAAACAGTTTTATACTTTACTTTTATAGTGGATAAAGTTCAATTATCGCAATGTTACAAGAAGCAGCTCTATGACTTTACTGTTATAGTGAATAAGGTTCAATGAGTATATTTAAATTTAATCCACACTTGTGGAGGGTAGTGAAACTTACAAGAAGAGAGGACTCAAGGCCAACTTGTGCAACATAAACAAAGAATGAAACAATAGCTGCATGTAAGAGTGTTGAGCTGCAAGTTTCTAATTAACCATAATTAATAGGAGAGCCAAAGTAAATATTCTTCTAAATCATGGTAGAAAAATTGAGTGAATTTCCAATCTGACCTATTTCTTAACAAACAGATTACATCGTTGAAAGAAGGCAATGTCTTCAATAATTGGATGTTTTTCTTTGGAGCTTTTTGCAAAAGACAAATTGTATCTGTTCCTTTAGCAGAAATATGGTCCTTTATCAAAGGTTCTGGGAGAAACATCCTTGTGTATACCAGAGCTATCACTGCCACTGTTGCAGCAACCTATAAGTAACAATAGTTTCATTTTACCTAAATTAAACAAGATACTTGTGTTTGACTGTAAACAGCTTATAAGATGTTAATTTGACTTATATGCATTGTATTAGTAAAAGTTTACTGGTGAAAATATTGTTTGGATCGAAATAATCATATGTTATGCGGAAGCTAGTAAAGTAAACCTTGAACGACGATAAATCAGACAATAAAAGAGAAATATACCAAAAGAGTCACAAACATTTAATGTGGTTCGATCAATTGACTTACATCCATAGTGTAGATGAGCAATCCACTATATAAAAGAGAGTACAAGAGAACAATCTCACAAAGAGGTACACACAAGTGATAAGATAACACTTGTCTCACAAATTCTCCCCCTAAATAAAGACTCTTAAACCCCTTAAGGACTACATTATAGATGTTAATGAATGAATTTATAGAAGTCAAAATATTTTTCTCTAAGAAAAAGGACTAAACAAATATGGACGAATGTATTTTCTTTTTTCAAAAATTAAAACTTGTGTAGTTGGATGAATTTGAAATCTCGAAAAATGTAGACAATAATATTAGTATGTGTTTAACTTGTATACATGACAAGTGGGATTGATAACGTGAAACTAAGACAGTAACTTTTTCCACTGATGGATAAAATTTTCATTTTAACACCAGAAGTGAATATAAGTTAAATCGTACTAATATACTACTATTAATGAAATAGTGTCTTACGTCCTTAAGACGTCTCAAATAAAATGAGTGTCACGTACCTGGAAAGTGGAAGCAGTGGAGAGGAAGCGAGTAGAGAGGTTTCCACAGACAAAAGCAGAGGAAGCAATCCCAGAGAGGACTCCAAAGACAGAGGCACGGCGGCTCTCTGGAACTACATCAGCCTGATATCCCAAAAAAAGAAAACCATTTTGCAATTTAGGTGAATTACTCAAATACTCACACAATTTTCAAGATTTCAGTGGAAATTTGAAGGTAGTTTTACCACATAGGCAAGAGCGAGGCAGTGTACATTTCCTTCGCAAACCATAGCAACGAGAGTTCTTAGGACGTAGTAAGCATAGAAGAAGTATTTTGTCCTGCTGTATGCCAATATCACTAGGGACAAAATTTCGTCAAGACATGATCAATTTTATGTTTCAAAACATAATGGTAAATTCTCACTTCGATTTCATCGCCAACAACAATTGAGGGTAATAATTTCCATTTTATTACTCCATATATCTCATTTTGTGTCTTAATTTGATTGTACAGGTAGTTTAAAGAAAAAACATTTGAATCTTGTGCTATTAAATTAGAGTTGTGTATAACATACTAAAAATTACACACTGAATATTGTGATCTTCTCTAAGTATGGGTAACTTTGAACTTATAACTTGGTTTTATAGGTACCCTTTCCTATAGTAAGATCATTTTTCTTGCAACAATAAGGGATAGTAACGTATTATTACACTATTACTGTAACTATTCTCCAAATATAATATGGTTAATTACTTTATACTTATCACTAAAATGCATAGTAGTACTTAGTTGTTCTTTTATTATTGCCACTAATATTTATCCTTCTCAACTCTCAAGCTAACAAAACACTGAAAAGAGAGAGAGGACAACCAAACTAACAAAAGAGAAATTTCCTCTTTCTGTTTCCATAAGTGAGTAAAGACAAACAAATAAAGAAAGTGAAAGAAACTTCGTAAGAAGCAGTGGAGTGGAGGAAAAGAGAAAGGGACGTTAGTCCCCTCGTCTTTTAGTGCTCTTATTTACTGACGGACAAATTAGGTAGTTGGTTTCACCAGAAAGACGAAAAAATTAACCAACTCGACAGTACAAAGGTGAATTTGCTTTGCATGCTTTAATACTACTTATAATTAATACTCTTTCTTTTTAAAAAATGCTACAGCTAATAACGTTAGCTTTTTCATTTCTTCATTCTTAGGGTCTTTAACTGTTCATTTTGTTCTCCTTTATGGCTATCTGGTTCTTATTTGTTCATTTTTATATTTAAAGTGGTAATAAGGTAGGTCTAAAGATTGATTTGATTATTTTTTTAAAGGAGCCGGTGTGATAGGTCTGAATTAAATATGTTGTTGTTTGCATGATTGGCTTTATGCTTCTCTAAACATATTCTGATCGTATGTGATGTTTTTCTCTAGTATACTGACTTATCAGCTAAAATTCTAGTAAAATTTCTCTACAGTAATATATTACTCCTATGTAAATTGAATTAAGATTTTTGAATTATTCATCTAGTAAAATACAATAATAATAGAGAGTCTTTTAAAATGTCCATATCAATGAAGGGTATTAAATGCAAAGAGATTATTGAGTAAATTAAGAGGAAGATGGAAGGATGAGTACCTAGAGGAAATATGGAAAGGGTCAAAGGAACCATCAGCATGACTTTTCTCCCATACGTGTCCGACAGATTCCCCAACACTGGCATTATAATTAGTGATCCCAATCCTATTATCTGCACATGACCAAAAAAAAGGAAAATTGTCATGACTAATTTGTTATAATGAGCAAATACACCGATAATATAAATATTCTTTGTATTGTGAGTCCATACAACTTAAATTTTATCCAAAATGTTCGATTCCGGGATAGAGGAGGAGCAAGAAGTTCGGCTATGGTTCGGTCAAACTTTTTGTTAAAATAATGTATTTGAAGTCGTCGATCTAACATTCAGAACTCATAAAATTAAAATTCTACTCTGCTTAGGTTTCGGGAGACATTGTAGTTGAGGGGAAAGACATGTTTCTGTAACCAACCCTTGGTAACAAATCATATGTACGTAATTCACTATCTACCTCTGTTTCAAGATTTTATTTGAAGATCAATCCATGTAAGTTCTTATTCTCCTCCTTGAGAGAAGAAGAGTTAAAGTTGCATACTCAGTAGTACTTTCTAATAAAGGGAATTTTCTTAGGAATCAGCGGAAATTTCCAAAGTAAAGACAGATAAAAGTGGTTGAGTAATGTACTATGCGTCATCATATCATAGGAGTAGTGATTTTCTTTATTTGGCAATCTAGGACGGGTATGCACTTGTTTTCATTTCTTTTCTTTCCTTTTTCGTTATATGCTCCAATCAAAGAACATTAATGGAGTATTTTAGATTTTCACAAAAAAAAAAAAAAAAAAAAAAAAAAAAAAAATCTCACTCAATGAAATTTTTCATGCCCAATTCATTGATTCTCAAAGGGGCAAATGATGCAACAAGGAAAATTACACATTGATGTATTAAAACTGAGAATACCTATCAATTATGTTTCACTCTTAATAGAACTAGTCATATGTCATAACAACTACGGAAACACTTGAGCCACTTTAGGCATACACGTATGCAAAAATAATGTGGGGATTCTTGTTGATGGCTAGATAAGGCACATGGGTAATTAAAAGATTGTAAAAAAGACTAATTTTGATAGAGTTCAGGTGTCCACTTGAAATCTAGCTAAGAGGGCGGCATATTAACAAGTAGAGGTGTCAATTAAGCTATTCGGCCTTATTACTTTAAGTATTCTTCTATTTTTGGGTTCCCTTCTAAACAAGTCCAACTCTCCGTTGGAGGTGAGTTAAGACTTAAGACTCACGATCAAACTCCATTACAAACCAATTAGCTTAGAACGAAAGCAAACAATTTTGGTTGAGAATAGTGACGTTAGTGGCTCCGAAATAGCACATTATATATATTCCCTTATTTTAATTTGTTTGAACCTATTTTCTTTTTAATTTGTGCCAAAAAATTGATCTCTTTCCATATTTGAAAGCAATTTACATTTATGCAATGATTTATAACCACACAAAATATATGTGCCTCATTTTACAACACAAATTCAAAAGTCTTTCTTTTTTTTCTTAAACTTGGTATCCAATTCAAAAGTCACTTCTAAGAATTTCAGCTAAGAAATGAAAAAGACAACTTAAACACACGACAAAGGAAAAGTAATGAAGACAACAATAGAAGCAAATTTAAAATGTAGAGTCAATGAGTATG